TGGTATCCAGATGCTATTGGTGGCATGATATGTAAATTTGGTCATCAACTTGTGGTATGGAAAATCAAACAACTAAACAATTATTTAAAAGTATTATATTTTAAATGATATATATATATATATGCATCATGATTTTAGAATTTTCAAGTTCAAGTGGGTGATTTATCAGGAATAGGTAGGATTACAAGGTCTCGTAGACAAAAAAAGGGCAAATCATCATCATCTGGAGGTAAATAATTATAGTAAAATCAAAGTAGTTATAATCTTCAATCAATTAAATAATTAAATATTTTTTAACTGTTTTTTATTTATTTTTTTGCAGGAATGAAATTTGCACGGAATGACCCAAAAGAAAAAATTAAGCTTATATTATTAGCATTCCAATATTCATTAAGGTTACAATTGGACGCTTTAATTAATAAAATGGGATTTCCTCCAGAACTTGAAGTAATGAATTATACTTGTATGCATATATAATATTGTGATCTTTGTTCTTTTTTTTTTAATCAAAAAATTTTTTTTTTAGCACGTAGTTCGACAATTATGGACACTTTATGTCAATAAACATAAGGCAATAGAAACTATTAAAAATTTATCTAGAAACAACACATATGAGCTTGGAAATTTGTCAGAAGAGTCTGATGATAATAACATTGATGCATTATTTGATTTGGAGAGAAAGAGCATTGATGATGATGACAAATCTGATAAAAATAGCAATGATGATGATGGTGACAGTGATGATGGCGGCGATGGCGATAATGGTGATGATGATGATGATGACGATGATAGTGATGACGATGATGGCGATGATGACGATGATAATGATGGCGATGATGGCGATGATGACGATGATGACGATGATAATGATGATGACAATGATAGTGATGACGATGATGACGATGACAAAACCAATGGTGATGATCCTGACGATACTGACAAAATCAATAAAATCGATGATGATGATTATTATGGTGATAACCAATTTATTGATGAAACTGTCAATTTTGAGATCTATATAGAAAACAAACGTAAAAAACTAAGGGAATTTCGTGAACTTTATGAATTAAAAGCAATTAATCTCTTGATTATTTTATATCTTGGTATGGCTTGGCTAAGATTACCAGTCACATTGTCGGATATTCACAGGTATTATATCCTTTTTATTTTATTATAATATATTTTATATATTTATTGATGATTTCAATTTTTTGAAATTACGTTTAGATGGGTTCTGAGTAAGGAACTGCCGTACTTGAATATTCGTAAAGATTTACCTGACAGTATAAAATTACATCTTGGACTTTCTCGACTAAAAACTTTTGAACCTAGTGTAATCCTAAATTTCATGCTTGAATATCTTTACCTAATATGTATTAATTGGTTATTATTGCTATTTATTAAAAAAAAATTATTATTTAGGATTTAGTACCGTGTTCAACTCTTCATAAATTAGAATATTCTTTTACGCAGGTTTATAAACTTCATTATGGGATTATTTTTCCTGAAATTAACATGCCATTAATATTGTATCAATACATTAGAGATCTGGTACTACCAGGTAAATAATTATAATAATCATCCATTATTTTTTTTTTTTTTTTTAAAAAGCTATTTAACTAATTACGATTTTATTAAGTTGAATTTTATGTTATAACAAAAGAGTTGGGACAATTGTTAAATATAAATTTATATCCTGATCAAACATTTCAGTCCAACAGACCAGTTGTTATTTTGATGGCATTACTTGTAATTGTTATAAAGATTGTTTATGGATTAGATGATGAAAGTAGGTATGTATCATCATCATCATCGTCATCATC